GGTCCATGGGACTGCAGCTGTTTGGGGCACGCTGGGGTGTCTGTGCTTAAGTTTCTGTATTGCTTATTTCCTATGCAGTTAAAAACCCCGTGTTCTCAACTTCCCCTCCCCCAGCTGGTGACAGCAAACACCCACTCAGGCAAAAATCATGCTAATTTTCTTGTCCCCTCCTGGTGAGGACCTCCACTTCAAGCCCAACAGAAGGGCCACGGACTCCTTATTGCAAATTACGGGCATCATAAAAATACGGAGAGGGTGTAGCGACATTTTGGAAGGGTTTTTGCCATCGGTGAATTGAGGGGAAGCAAGAAATGAGGCGAGGTTGGGGTGGGAGTGGTTTTGATATTTGTAGGCCGAGTCCTGATTTGTAGCAGGGTTGGCTGGTATCTGTCCGGCAGGGATGATAAAAGGGGTTTCTCTGAAGAAGGCTCCCAAGTGCATCTCAGATGTCGTGAACGTCCTGCAGCTACCTCTGGGGTGGAAGACAGCAGAAGCAAGGGCAGCTTTTGCCTGACTGCAAAATGCCATAGGATATTTAGTGTCCGGGCAGTGCCTGGGTTTTTTAAAGTCTCGTTTAAAAGTTCCCCCTTCAGAAAATGAAGGGGGAACTCATTTTATCTGCCTTGGAAGGCTGACCGGCTGAGTTGACTCAGCAGGGATTGGAAACTGGTCCCAGAGAGCTGAAGTGCTCCAAGCTGAGGCCCAGCCCTCGTCCCGTTAAAGCTTAGTTTGTAGACACCACTTCTGCACCAGCAGCTTTCAAAGCATTTCCCAAACTATGATAAATACAGTATTTCAGTTTAATGGCAAGGGGGCAGTGAGGCATAGGGAGCAAAGGGACTCACCCAAGGACACAGAGCAGGTCAGTGGCAGAGCCAGAAAGTAAACTCAGTGCACTGTAGTGTCCGCTGGCCCGTATTAACTCCCACAGACCGATCGGTACCTCCTCCTGATCAATCGCACATACACATTGTAATGCGTTGGGATCAGACTCCTGATCCAGAGGTGAATCCTGCCCTTGATGTTAAATGAAAGAATGTGAGGCATTTTCCACCCTGACTTCCAACTGGCGAATTAAATGTTGCTGACCTGTAACTTTCTATGCGTAACATGATTTTTGCCTTCCTGTCTTAAATGATCATGTCCTGCAGTTGTGTATGGCAAATAGCTGCTGCTCCAGCTCAGAAGTGGCTGTGATTCAGTCTTGATAGGACCAGTTTTTGCATATAAGCCTTGACCTTCCAGGTGGTGCAGAACGGGTGTATTTCTGCACCTGCGTGCAACAGGATGAAGGCCTGGGGTAGTAGTACGGAAAATGCTTTATGACTCTTTCGGATGTGGGCACCGATTTAAACATAAGTTGGTAGAGACTGAGAATCGGTCATGGCCCCAGCTAATTTTTGATGCCCTTATTCATACTGAATGCCAACTTATTCATGACTCGTTCGGTTGATTCCAGCAGGGCATGGTGCTGCAGTGTGAGGTAGGCCTTGGCATGTACTAGTTGGTATTTCCAGGGTGACAAAATCTTAGAAACTCCTGTTATTAAGAAAACTGGAAGAATTCAGACTGTGAACCCTTCAGAGGGACTGTGGTCCAGATGTATGTACAGGCTTGTATTTCTA